AATTTTTAGGTGAAAATTCCCTTGACCTATTTGGAGATGGACTTGCTGGAACATGTGGCAAGGATCTGTATCTGCCAACTTCAGCTGGGTAATGCATCACATTGAATCCTTGACTATTGAACCTGTAGGTGATAAATATTACAATTTGAACTTTTCTCCAGACTTATGGTAACCCAGCATAGTTGACAAGTGAATTGAACACATATACACTCTACTCTTGGTTAAGGTACTGCTTTGTTAACAACATTTTGGATTCCAGGACAAATCCCTCGGTTAAAAAACCAAATTTTGTATATTTTAACTTTCTTCTGGAAAAAATCCAAAATTTGGGAATCCAAAATTCGATTTTGAGGATGAAATTTATGGTGAAGTCCAAATACAAATATTTCACCTCTGCAATGATATGAAATACATTCCTCCTGGAACATTGATGTGTGAGATCTTGTATTTTAAAAGTTTTTCAGCTGCAATTGTCATGGGCTTTTCTGTGACATAATTATTACCTTTTCAGTGCTTGGATTTTTAGTGGTTCAATTCTTAGAAATGTCTATTTGATCTTTACTTTAAGCATCAAAAAGATAAATTTCACACATTCCTCACACAATACATATCAGTTGTTGCCTGTTTCTCCAAGATGAAGCTTACTTAATCTTTGTTTTCATCAGCACTACTTTCATGTAAAAATATTCTGGGCACAAATGTCTTTAATTTTTCAAGATTCAATGGTGAATTGTCTTTTGGCTTCATGTAACAGATTCAATTCTTCCCCATGGAAGATGGGGAACACTGATACATAGGAGTAAGTTGTTGCTGTCATGGCGACATTCGCAGTGACAAAAAATTTCTGCAATATGTGTCAAACAGGGCTAGAATTTTGTTCTTGTACCAAAAACTGTTTCTTTTTTCAGGACAATCATTGTTTTTCAGCTTAATGTTCTGCCCTTTCAAATATTTTTGCTAGGCCCCTTATATATACAGGTTACAATGCACATTGCATCAAACTCAATGCCAGATTTCACGCCACATTAGTTGAATGTGATGGGAGCATTAACCATCATGCTGCTGTTGATTGCCAGGGAATAAATCCTCTGTTATCCTAAAATGCAGTAACTTTCAGAAAGGCCCTTTTAAAACTTTCCATGAAACCCTTTTCCAAGAGTCTGAGAAATAAGGAAATTGCTAGAGTGAGAAAAGTCTCTGCAATTCTCCTTGATGACAAGTCCTTTTGACTTTCATCCAAATTCCAGTAAAGCCCCACAAAGAGCAAATGAATCCATTATCATTCTTGGTATCCTGGTAGGCTCAATTCATCAATTAGTGGAAGTGATATTTATACTTTTGCACCCTTGTTCTGTCAAGTCATTGCTGCTGATGTGTGGCTGTAACTAATGTGTTTCACACTGTTGAGCAATTCCTTTCAGTGCATTCCATGAGACTGAGGTTTTCTCTCAGTAGGGGGTCAGTGATTGTTCCCCCCATTTCTCCCCTTCCTGGTGACCAGGTTCAAATACCTGTGCTTGGAATGAAATCTAGAGAGATCTCATCCAAGCTTCCTAGAGTAAACTCCATAGACTTAACATTGGTAAAGCTCAATCCCATTTGATCTAAAGTAAAGCTGGACTTGTATGTTTGTGTTCTTGTATTTGTACTTGTGTTGTATTTGAATGATTGTACTTGGGGAGAGTCTTGTATAAAGTGTGTTAACCAGAAATAAGGACTGTGTTCCTTTATTTCTTGACTCACAGTCCTGTAAGAGAAAGGACAGCACCTCATACCATCCCTCTCACCTCAGTAGCAAGTCATCATCCTCTCCACCCCAGCCCCAGAAGTTGTTGCTGTGGCCATTGACTTGGTGTATGAGTTGTTTGGGCACAATTGCCACTCCACCAACACCCCCGTAGTATGGTCTGCAAAATGTGATTTCAATAATTTCCCTTGTGAACAAAAACATCAACTCTTCTGTCTGGACTTGAAAAATGAAGTGGGAATGAACATCACATGTATTGCGATTGCTCCACGCCTATGGCCAAGTGCAGGGGCCAGGGAAAGCATTTGTAGGTTGTTTTGCTCTTTTCAGGAATCAGGTCCACGTCGTGGTAAACAAAGCAATCGTAGTCCCCATGCTTTTCTGCTTCCAAAGTTCCAATGTTTGATAACTGCCCTCGGTTGAAAGGAAGGTCATCTGAAAATTAATTGGAGTGGATCTTGGCATCATCTAACTTGGAAAACTTTTAAGTATTCCAAGTTGGATGATGCCAAGTGGAGAAATTGGTGCACACTGGGGATATGTTTGTAATTCTACACAGTGACCCTGCTGTGCACCTGAAGTGTACCACAGTTCTTCTGTTGCACAAACATATCCCTAATGTGCACCAATTGGGTGTTCACACCAGGATTACTCAGGGTAACATTTTTAAACAAATAAGTTACACCAAGGTTACAGCTGGTGAATTTGTGTGATGCTCCTGTTTTGTCACACTTGTGCATCAAGTGTAGCCCTGGAATGGTAACAAAATTTCCTCTACAGGAGCACACACTTGTAATCCCAGAATATCCCATATGCACCAGTTGTGACCCTGGTGTGCACCTACTGTGGGGTCATAGCAAAAAGAGCTCCCCACTTGGGTGATGTTGGTTAATTTCTATCACTAGTACCAGTTTGATTGACAACAAATATGGTGTATGCAAGCAGCTGGAATTTGAGCAGGTGATGGAGATTCCAGAGAAAAATCCTGAGATGTTCTTCTCTGTCTCTGTAAGGAACAATCACTGCCAGTCTTATGGAGATTCCAGAGAAAAATCCTGAGATTTTCTTCTCTGTCTCTGTAAGGAACAATCACTGCCAGTCTTTGTGAAGGATTGCAGGTTTTTTGGGGTGAAACTGCCTCCAAGTTCCACATCTTGATGTTGTTTGATAACTTCTTCCCAGGAAACATTTTCCAATTTGATTTGATATTCTGAATATCCAGGATCCAGTGTTGAGTGAGCTAAATGACAAAATCCCTTCATAAGTATTTCAAAAGTAGGGGATGCATAAAAAAAAACCAGTGTTCCCCAATCTGTGGTCTATGGACCAGCGCCAGTCCTCAAACATTTTCTGCTGGTCCATGGGAAAATTTCAGCATAATACATTTATTAAAAGTTGGGATGAAGTCTGTTCTTTTTACCTAAAATATAGATCAATTAGGTTGGTAGAATAGGTAGGACATATCTGATGAAAACAAATGCATACTTTTCTCCTAACAATACTTCAGACAAATTTTCAACTGCTGAAATGAATCATTTTAATTTTTCATCTTGAAAAACCTTTCTCAAAGCCTACCTTCTTTGAAGTTTGATGACATTCTTGACTGAATTATTCTTTCATCTACCTGCCTGATAACATTCAAGCAAAACTTTTGCCTGGCTGCAGAAAATTCATGAAACTTTACCAGTCTGCCAATTTTTTTTTTGAAATTTGCCATTCCTCAAAAAAATTCTGGAAACATACCAGTGCATGAGCCCAAAAAGGTTGGGGAACACTGATATAAACACTTTGCATTTGCATACATTGTGACCCAGGAACCAGTGGACATAAATTTCCCATCTGTTCTGCATATCTACCATCTCTTTGGTAATGAGGGAATAAAAAAGACCCTGCCAGGAAGCATGATACATATCCATAGGCTACCCCAACAAGTGACAACTTCTTGTTCCACCCATTCCTTTTTCTTCTTCAAGTATTTTTTCGGAATCCAAATCAGGATCCAAACACTTGCTAAGGGCTTTTCTTAAAACAAATTCAGAATATCCTGATTAGTGTTTACCTACATACCAAAAATGACAGAAAGTATCCATGATCTGCTTTCTGTTCATTTTTCTTTCACGGTGACATAAAGTCAGTCTCTGGTGGAACAGGGGAATACTAAAATAAAAAAACTGAAGAAAGGAAACACTTGAACTGGTGAATACAGTATTGCAAAAATTATCAACCATATAATCCTTGTAAACATTTTCAAAAGGAAGTTTCATCAGTGTTTCACATCTCACCACTATTAACTTCACTCTGTTCTCCATTCTGTGACTGTTGGGGACCCGCCGCCACTAGTGTGATGAGGGCCTCATTAATCGAGGCTAGAGTAAATGGGGTGGAAAAATAACCCAAGGACAAACAACGAAAATGGTTGAAATTAGAGCACCAGAAAATCTCGGAAGATTCCAGAACCTTCTTTCAAGGCTTCCTGCCCCCAGAGTCGTCTTCGACTCCAACTTTTCTGGCCAATCCCAGGCCTCTAAAAATCACCTGATCCTCAGCCAGAGAGCTGGATCAAGGCCAGCACCAACAATTAATAAAAACCCTTTTTATTCCCATTTTCATTATCAGTCTGAGCCTAGCTGTTGTGCGGTACACAGTGTCATAATTTCGAGCTTGCTGAGAGGTTTTGCTGTTAATGAAATACTTTGAGACTTTTTGAAATCTTTACTGTTGTTGGGACTTTATTTGAAATACAGTTTAAAGTTAAAGTTGGGATTCTACCAGGAATCCCCAGCCTTGTCCCAGGCTGATTCTGTGTTTCTATTTCTAATATTCTTGATCCACAGCTTCTTATTTCTCTTTTCTTATGTTGGGTTGACTGTTGTCCCCAACA